TTTTTTTTTTTTTTTTTGGCTGCCTTGGGTCTTTGTTGCTGTGTGCAGGCTTTCTCTAGTTGTGGCGAGCCGCGGCTACTCTTCATTGCGGTGCGCAGGCTTCTCATTGCGGTGGCTTCTCTTGTTGCGGAGCACGGGCTCTAGGCACGCAGGCTTCAGTAGTTGTGGCTCTAGAGCACAGGCTCAGTAGTTGTGGCACATGGGCTTAGTTGCTCTGTGACATGTGGGATCTTCCCGGACCAGGGATCGAACCTGTGTCCCCTGCATTGGCAGGCAGATTCTTATCCATTGCACCACCAGGGAAGCCCAGCTCTGGTGCTTTTAATCCTTCACCTCATGTATGCAGCCACCAAGCAAGTTCCAGAGGTGCTGGGATGGTCCTCTGCCTCCGATAAGACTATGTCTCCTACCCACTAGATCAGGGGTTGGCAGACTCTCTCTTAAGGGCCACATAGTTGACCCTTTTGGCTCTGTGGGCCATCTAGTCTCTATGGCAACTATTCAACTGTTGCTGTAGCCCAAAGGCAGCCATACTTAAATGAATAGATATGGCTGTGTTCTAATAAAACTTTACTTGTAAAAACAGGCAGCCAGCAGCCCATAGAGCCGTAGTTTGCCAAACCCTACACTAGATACCTTTATCTCCACAAGTAGAATGTTAGTAGGTAAAGGAAGGAGATCACATTAATTATCCTTAAAATGAATGAATCTCAGCTCCTTCCTGCAAGTAGGTTTTGAAAGTTGGGAGGGCAGAGACACCATGGGAGTGGGCAAGGGGACAGGCCCAGGAGGACGGGGACACAGAACAAGAGGCTGAGACTGGGTACAGGATGTTCCTGGCCCCTGGGTTCATTGAGGTGGGTGCAGACCTAGTCCCCAGTCCCCCCAGCCAGGCCAGCTGGGCCACCTCTGACCCCCGAGTTAGAGCCTGGTGAGAAGATACCACGGGGAGACATCACAGCTGAGCCAGAGGAGATCTGGGCCTCAGCTCCGACCACCCTGTTCCAGGATGCCTCCCAAGCCCGGCCAGCCTGAGGGCGAGCGAGAGAGAACGGCAAAGGGGAGTTTCTAATTTAGGTTCCCGTGAGGTTCAGACAAACCCCCAGCCCTCCGCTGCTCATGGCCTGTTCCCACCCGGACGGGCTGCCAGCCAGCCCTGGTCTCTGGTTCCTCTGCCCTGCCCTCCTCCCCCAACCCATCCTCACCCCGCTCCCAGCAGCCTCCAAGCCCTGCGACCAGCGCGGCCTGGTCCCCTCGTCCCCCCGTGCACACCTGCTCATGCTGGGCTCCTGTGTTCTAAGTGACTGACCCCCGCCCCTTCTGGCTACAGATACCTTCTGGATGAACCCTCAGTACCTGATCAAGTTGGAGGAGGAGGACGAAGACCAGGAGGACGGGGAGAACGGCTGCACCTTCCTAGTGGGTCTCATCCAGAAGCACCGGCGGCGGCAGAGGAAGATGGGCGAGGACATGCACACCATTGGCTTCGGCATCTATGAGGTATGGGAGGGGCGCCCACAGGGCCGGGGCTCCTCCTTCCCTTCCTCCTTGGCTCATGTCAGCCCCGGTGGCAAAGGCCAACCCCACAGGCAGACCTGGAGATGGGACCCCAGGCCGGGAGCTTGGCCAAGGAAAAGCAAAGCCACGGGCCGGGCCAGTCTTAAGAGACTCATGCAGGGAGGTCCCTGCAATTGGTCTGGGTCACCAGGAGCCCCCGCCCCCCTTCCCCTGCAGCCAGCTTCCAGCGAGTCCCACTCTTTCAAATGGCCTCCGTGTCCCTTCTCACTTCCCCCAGGCCTGGCACTCTGGCTGGCCACCAATCTCCAAAGAACAGAACAGATGTAAGGCGAGGACAGAGTATGCTGGACCATGTCAGGAGCCACTGTGAGGGCAGGAACTGAGCCAGCAGGTCCCGTCCCGCTGGGCAGAGCCCGTGCTCGGGGCAGGGGAGCAGTTGGTCCTCTGCTCCCACCAGGGCTCGGCCGGCTACAGCCCCGCGCCCAACACAGGCGCTCTCACTGCCCCCATGTCCTTTCATTCCGAACCAACTGACCCAACACGCTGAGCCCGGTCCCCTCCCCTCTCCCTTCTACCGCACAGGGAAGAGCTGCTCCTGGCCTGGGGTGAGCAGTGGGAGAAGCGGGGTGCAAGGAAGACTTCACAGCCGCTCAAGTGGGGTGCACTTTGGTGTGATGGGTGGGCCGCAGTGACGTGCTGGAACCGGCCCACTCTTCCCAGCCCGACATTCAGTGAGGTCACGTGGGCAGCCTGAAAACAGCCACGGCAGGGAGGGGGCAGTATGTACAGCATGGAAATTAGCAAATACTACACATCAGGTCTCCCACCGAACCCTGAGAGCCAGGCTCCCAGCATGGCGCGTAGGAGTCAGACACAGTGTCGGGGAGAAGGCTGTCTGCTCACTTCACCCAGCAGTGAAACGGGGCTGCCGCCCGTGGGGCGACAATCTGCCAGCTCACCCACCAATAGGTGGAGCTGGGCAAGCACCATCATTTCTAAAAATGCACATAAGGGCTTCCCTGGTGGCGCAGTGGTTGAGAGTCCGCCTGCCGATGCAGGGGACACGGGTCCGTGCCCTGGTCCAGGCTGGGCCCGTGAGCCATGGCCGCTGAGCCTGCGCGTCCGGAGCCTGTGCTCCGCAACGGGAGAGGCCAAAACAGTGAGAGGCCTGTGTACCGCAAAAAATAAAAATAAAAAAAATAAAAGATAAAAATGCACATAATTCCAAGCTTCTTAGTCTCTGAAGTAGGAGCTGAGGACTTCAGATCTGGGACAGAATAGCTGCAAGAAAAATGCAGACTGAATTGTGACACACAGCCCAGACTTGGAAATCCAGCCATGGGCTTTCAGAGCCGAGAAGCACCTATCCTGTCTTAGAGATAAGGAAACTGAGGCCAGAGAAGGGAAGTGACTTGCTTGAGGAAATACAGATGGATGCGGCCGGCAGAAGCTTGGAACCAGCACCTGCTGGCTCCCAGCCCTGAGCGCAGCTGTGTGCCTGTGCTGCTCCCTCCAGCCCTGCTTTCCCTGGCGGTGAGGGTGGGGTGTGGGCTTTGCTACAGGCAGCTGGGTGACCTCAGACAGGTCAGCCAGGTCACTTCACAGCTCCAGGCCTCGGTTTCTTGCTCTATAAGAACGGTGCTAAGGGCTCGTGTACATTATCGCCGGCTCATAAGATTTTTTTTAAAATGTGCATTCCTTGGGAAATAATTACTGGGTTGACTCAGTTCCTATTGGTAAAGCTACGGAGAAAGGGGGGTAGCAAAGGAGACCATCTCAGTGGTGACATTTCTTTCTGGAGCTTTTCCAGAGTTTGAATTCAGTGTGTTCTCCTTTATTTGCAGATTCCAGAGGAGGTACGTCTGGCTCACGTCAGCCGCTGTCCCTGGGGGCTCAGGTTCACCAACAAGGAAAAGGCTTAGACTGCTGGCTCGGGGGTCTTGTGAAGCCCGGGCAGGGGCTGGTGGCGATGAAGGATGAGTCCCCAGCCCCTCTGGGCCCCAGTGAGGTTGCTCAGGTCCTAGATCTCAGGGTCTAAGCACAGGCACAGGTAAGGCAGCTGGGGCAGTCGCCATGGGGCGTGCTGTCTCCCCAGACCTGGCAAACCCACTGCACACAATTAGTCCCGGGTGGAGGGTCCGTGGTCCAGGGGCTGCAGGAGAGTCTTCCCGGAGTCCTGTAGTGCTCTTAAAACAGGCCTAAAGGGAAATGATGAGCCCTGTGGTGGTATTATGAGAAGATGGGGAGCACAGAAAGAGGCCTGGACCCCATTCCCAGCTCTGCCATTTGCAGGCTGTGTGACCTTGGGCAATTAACCTGTCCTCTCTGGACTTCAGTTTCTTCGTCAGTAAAACTGGTCAACCATCCGCCTTGCCAGACTATTGGGATGCACTGTGATACATGAGAGCACTTAGTAGGCCCACAGTTAGGCTTAACCGAGCTGGTGAGACACACAGTCGCAGTGTGTGTTTTTATAGGCCACAGTTATTCAAGTCAACACACAGGACAGGGAAGTTGGTGGCGTGCTGGGCCTTTGTGGATGCCGTGGTCAGACCGACACCCCACATTTGAGAGCTGGGCCCCCTCCTCGCCGCGGTCCTGGCTGCTTGTGTCAGTGTGTCTATACCACACAGAACTGAGTGGATCCCGGCCGAGGGCACTTTAATGCCCCTGAGTCGTAAGGGGAAGGCTGAGGACCTCTGTCCGAGTGGAGAGATGGGGCATCTGAAGACAGGGGGTGAATGTGGGTCCCCTGCTGTGTGTGCCTCTGAGCTCCTGTTTGGGGTAGAAAGTTAGCTTTTCATCTGAGACGATGGAGAGTTGTCGCCGTGAGCCTCTTGTCTCGATGAGTGGAGAGGACGGCGCTTGGAGCCCCTTCCACCCTCCACTCCCTCTTGCTCCATGTTTCTTCACCAGTTCGCAGGACAGACCAACATCCACCTCAGCAAGACATTCTTCCTGACGCACCGTGCGAGGGAGCGGTCGGACACCTTCATCAACCTGCGGGAGGTGCTCAACCGCTTTAAGCTGCCCCCGGGGGAGTACATCCTGGTGCCGTCCACCTTCGAGCCCAACAAGGATGGGGACTTCTGCATCCGGGTCTTTTCCGAAAAGAAAGCTGACTACCAGTAGGTCGTTCAGCCCTCCTCGTCCCCACGCCTTGTTCCTGCCCCGCCTGGACCCGCGCGTCAGCTTCTTTTTCTGTAGTACCCGCCCGCTTCGAAGGCTTAGCGTGAGGACTTGAGGTATCGAAGAACGTTAGTGCTGTCCTCGGGTCAGCAAAGAAAATAGACACTCGGGAACTTTCTGATGAGAAAGGGATGGTTGTAGAGCAAATTACAAATGCCTGTCATTTGGGGCAGTGCGGGTAGAATCCCTGCATCCCCAGCCCACCAGCCTGGCAGAGCCGAGGATCTAAGTGCCAATCCCAGCAGTCCCTCAGATGTCTCCAGAGCCTCACCCCACTACAGTCACGAGGTCTCCAGGTGCTCCCCCGTCCTCACTGGAACCCCGCTGTTCAGGGACCATTTTTGGCTGACACCACTGTCGGCATGGCCTCATCAATTCACAGTGGCTGCTGCCTCAACCGTGTCTGTTCAGTTGGGCCCTTGATTGCGTGAGATGTAATATCAGCCTTGGGCAACTAAGCACAAGATGTACTGGAAGGCCCTGGAGACCCTCTAGAACTGATAGGAGGCTGGGCACCAGAGGACCAGGGTGTGGGAAGAGGGGGCGTGGCAGCTGCCGTGTCCCCCTCTGACCTTGGGCCACATGCTCAGATCCATGTGGGATGGAGGGGGGCGCAGTGGGCGAGAGGGGAGGGATCGCTGGGCTCCAAGACAATGCACAGCAGAGAAGGAATTTCCCTCGCTGTGGAGCAGAAGGACCCAGCCCTGCACACAGGATTGTGTGTGGGTACACTGCATGATTCTCCATGTGAAGATTTATGACGGCAAAGGGCGTTTCAGAGGGAACCTAAAAGCTGTTCCTCCAGGCCAGAGCACCAGCACCGTAGTACCTGGGAAGCCTGTGCTCTTCGATGAAGATGGAAAACTAGGAAACAAAACAGTTCTGACTCTCCAAGTTGTTTTAGCCAGGACACTTCCTTGGATCATTTCTAACTGTAGTTTCTGCTGTAGGGGATGTGTTGTCCCAGAAACTTGGGATGCAGAAAACCCCCCTGTGCCCACCCCATGCTGGGTTTAACGGCGCAGTTCCATTTTAGCCGGGATTTCTGCAACGCTCCCTTTTCAGTGACACATAGTTTCCTTCTGTTTCCAGAGTTGTCGACGATGAAATCGAGGCCAACCTTGAAGAGGTACCGTACTGCTTGAGCTTCACCCACTCTGTCCTGAACAACCCAGGAGCAGCGGAGCAGAAAATAACCCCAAGGGTTTAGGAGGCCCCTAGGATTTCACGAGCACAGCTTGAAACTAGGGTGCAGCCCTGGCCTGGGAGTCCGAGAGCGCCTCCTGCACCGGCTGTGGGCGCTGCGTGGGGCTGAACGGTCCCCTGGATGTAGCCCACACGCACGGGGTGCCTGGAGGATGGGACACCAGGCTGCTCTGAGCAGTGGGCAGTCTTGTCGCTCCCCTTTCTGGCCCTCAGTTTTCTCATCAACAAAATGGAAACGTTGCATGACGAGATTTTTCAGGTTCCCTAGAGTTCTGGGAGTTGTGATTCAGTGGTAAATCCTGAGGGCTTTGAGAAGTGCAACTCGGGAATTCCAGACGCAACCTAAGAGTCCAGAGTTGAGGAAGGAAAGCACACAAATGGGAAGGAGCGCTCCTTCCTCTGTCCTGGTGCCCGCAGCGGCTTGATGATTGTTATTCCTCAGCTGCTGAAGCTCCGTGTACTCAGTGAGACATGGAACAATTTCCAAGGGCCTCACGGCTGTGCTCTCGCCACGTTCAGAGTCGCTCCAGACCGCGCCAGCTCGTCTTTACACTTCTGAGTCCCCATTACTTAGATCATAAAAGGCCATTTTGGTGGAATGTTGGAGAAGATGCCTATGTGAGAAATTAGAGTGTAAACGCCTTCCCACATAGTTGATAGTCCCTCTTATGTGTTTTAACTGGAAAAAAAACTTCCTCACACTGTCCTTTGTCTCAATCCCGGTAACCTTAGAATTCAGGCCTGAGAGAGGGAGAGAGGGTAACTGAGGGGGGCGGGGGAGGCCGCCCCGGAAGGGAGAGCAGGCGCCCGCTAGTCACTGCATCTCACTTCTGTGCCTCGCCTTCCAGATTGATGTCAGCGAGGATGACATCGATGATGGATTCAGGAGGCTGTTTGCCCAGTTGGCAGGGGAGGTAAGCGTTCCCCAAACCTCTGTGCTGTGCGCCCTGCTTGACGCAAAGAGACCATCTTTGCCCTCAAGGAGACTTCAGCCTAAGGGGGGGGAGAGGAAACAATCTGAACAAAAAGCAAAGAGGAATTACAAACGTAACTGGGATTTCCGCTCAGATCCCTTGCCCAAGGCCTTTTCCGCTCAGATCCCTTGCCCAAGGCCTCCCCGGGGCCTCTGCACGTCAGTCGCCAGGGGCTTCTGCTGTCGGGGGTCGGCTCTGGCTGTGATCCTCCTGCCTGAAGACTCTGGGCCTCTCCTTGTGGCTGTTTTGTTTGCTCTGTGCCACTGCAGATGAGACATGGAACTCAGCCCCTTCTCTTTGATTGCCATGAAAATATTTGGGGACTTGGAGGGTTTTCAGTCTCAAGGAGGAAAGCAACAGAGTGTCAGCCTTCCCTGTTCTTAAGAAAGAAATCCCTCAGGCATCTAGGCTTCCGTCCGCTACCAAGTTAGCAGGCCTCTTCTTCCAGCGGCTCCAAACAAAGTCATTCTCCATATGTGGAGCACACTAGCTCTCTCGAGTGTCCACCATCAGCTTACCTGGGCCTCCTCATCAGAGTTAAAGCAGGCGCCACCTGCCCCATGCCTCCGCCCGCCCGTCTGGCTCCCTCCCT